CCCCCCCCCCCCGGGCCTTAACATGACCTGGCTTCACCTCGCTGTTGAAGGGAGTTGCAGCCAACGATCCCCACAAACTTTCCCCTAACCCACAAAGCTCTGGCAGGTGGCAGCTTTTCAGCTCTGCGCTGGAGTCCCTCCAGTCCACTGAGCCCTGCAGGAGATGCTCCCAAGGAGATCCCACGTCTCAGCAGCCTTCTAGGCACATGGTCGCAGATGCTCTTGCACCTTCTGCTCTTCAGCCCGGGGGCTTCCATGCACTGGTGCCCCACACAAGGCCAAGCGGCCAGATGTGCCCCCTGCACGCCCTGTAAGCAAGACCAGGGCCAAAAGGGAAGCCCACCCCCCAGCCTCCTGCTGCCCAGGCCAAGAGGAGAGGTGCCCCTGAGGTGCTTCCAGCTGGCCACCAAAAGGGCCTTGTGCCGATGTTCTGCTTTCCCCCCGAAGAGAGTTTCTGGGTTCTCCCAGGTAAGGCTTGGAGCCCACTGTGCTTGCTCTGTCACACACAGAATTTTGCAGGGCCACGCATGGCAGCGCCTTCCCTTTACAGCCAGCTCTATTACCCTACTCTTCTGCCTTTTTCTTTGGAGAAAGAGATCTTTTGGCGAGAGGTGGATCAGCTGTTCCAGGCCTTCGCACCTCTTCTAGAAGCCCTCCCACCACCTGGAAGCACTTTTCTCGAGAGAAGAAGGGAGAAGCCAAGGAGGGCACACCGGGGAGGTCTGCAAATGAAGGTCACGGGGTGCCTGGAGCCAAGGCATTTATGCAGAGTCGTGCACGGACGTTTGCTGGCTCTGGACACTGTGCTCCTCCTGCCTTTCCCTGCACTGTCTGCTGCCTTGCCCAAAAGGGCATGGCGACGGGGGGGGGGGCTTCGCTGGGGAGTGCCAGGAGCCCCCACCGGGCAGCACCCCGTCGTCGAGCCATTCCCTCGCCCCAAAGTGCCAGGAAAGTGCAGGGCGACGACACACGTGCGCTCAGAGTCTCATCTGGAAGCAGCGCCCACCTGCCCGCCTTCCGGGGGATGACAAGTGCGTGGAAGGCGCTGGACGCCTCCCCGAGCGCAGCGGAACGTCCTCCCGAGCAGCCTCGCCTCGCCTCGCCTCGCCGGGTACGGCCCGCTCTCGGCCCGGAAGGGGAGCGGCGAGAGCGGCGCCGCCGATCCCCAGCAGCCAGCTCCGTCGCGGAAGCAGCGGCGCGGCTGCGGGAGGCGTCGCTCGGGCGCTACGGGCTGGGGGGGCCTGGCGGACCCGCAGGGGCGCCGTGCCCCGGGAGCTTCTGGCGCGCCTACTCACCGACGGTGGTGATCAGGGTGCTGGAGAAGAAGAAGGAGGAGGCGAAGTCCCAGTTGGACGGGGCCGCGGAGCCGTTGTGCAGGAGAGCCACGCCGTAGCGGCTGGCGCGCACGACGGCGCCCAGGAAGCGCTCGAGGGCCGGCTCCGGCAGGCACGAGCTGTCGCGGAGGAAGGAGGCCTTGAGCGCCCGCAGCTCGGCCCGCAGGCGCCTCTCGTAAGGCCGCTCGACGGACGAGATGACCAGCGCGCCCAGCAGCAGGTAGCCCGCGTAGCCCAGCGCCAAGAGCGCGAGCAGGGCGCCGCGACGCATGGCCCGGCGACCCGAGGGCGCGGCGACCCTGCCCGGCGGGCCGGCGGCCGAGGACAGCGCGGGAAGGCAGGCAGGCAGCGCGGGGCCGGTGCCACCGCCAACAAGCGCTTAGCCGACTGAGGCCAGGCCCCTCCCGGCGGGCGGAGCCGGGATCGCCTCCCGGTGCACCTGGCCGGGTGGGCCGGTTCCCGGCGCTCCGAGGCGAGAGCCGCACCTCTCCGGGCGGAGCCGCGCTTGGGCCCCGCCACGCCTAGTGGTTCTCCTGCCCGTGGGCCCTTAGTCACGGGTGGCGGGGAGGGAGCTGCCGGCCGCCTCTGCTCCGGGGTTGCGAGCGTGAGGCGCCCCTCAGACCCAGAGGACGCGGCGAAGTCCCGAAGGCTGGGACTCCCGGAGCCCCGAGGAGGGCACTCCCCGAAGGCGGGGCGGGCTTGCCCGGCTCCCTTCGCAGCCCCCGGCCGGTTGCCGTGCCGGGCTTCTGCAAGTCCGGGGGAGGGCCGGGCTGCCGTCTCGGCAAGCTTGGGCAGAAGCGCTTCCTAGCGCCGCACGTTGCGCGGAGCTCGGCGGAGCGGCGCCGGACTCGGAATGGGAGAAGGCGGCTGCCGGGAGCTGCGCGCGACTCCCGTTCCGACCCCAGCGCTCGGAAGAGCGTCCGCCCGGCTGCCTTGGTCTCCCTGGGGGGCCGCACGGCGGGCTTGGAGTCCTTGCAGTCTCGAGGCGCCTTTTCTCTCGGCATTGTGTTTATTTGTGCGTGTATTTATTAAACTTCGATTCTGCTGTATCGGCCGAGGGCCCTCTGGGCGGATGATCGTGCCGTTATGGAGAGCAGGGAGTAGCTGGGGCCAGTGCAGAACCCGGGGCCAGTGCCCCTCCCCCAAGGCCCCAGGGGGCCAGTGCGGGATGGTGCAGCCCGCTCACCCTTCTGAAGGCATTTTGTGGCTCCGGGCAGTCAGCTGCCTTGGCCACCAACCCTGCAGGCCCATGAAGTCCTAGCATTGTTTACCTCTTCCTTCCTTCCATTTGCATCCCCCCCCTGTGGCCCCCCAGGGCTCTCCAGCTTCACTGCACCATTGGCAAAGCATGCTTCCGAGGCTGTTTAGCCACTGCACAGCCCCCAGGACTCAGGGATGCTCAGATCAGGCGAATAGGGGAAACCGCAGGGTGTTCACCAACACGCCCTGCGGGAAACCGACGGCCACGATGCCATCAGCATCCCTTTCTCCACCAGCAGGCACAGGGCCCCTGGCGAAGATGCCATTTGCCACTCGCACACAGCAGGGGCTGGTGAATCTACCCGCGCAGGGGGCCTCCCTGGCCAGGACACTTGCCGGGAGGCACCTGAGCATCACGCGCTTGCAGCACAGGCAGTTGAAAGCTGCTCCTGTTCGTTCTGGACCATCCCCTGTGCAAGGGTCGGCTTGGATCCCACCCAGGGAGGGGGAGGCAGGATGCCAAGTAACAGAAGAGGAAGGAGGGTTTCCCGGCCCCAAAGCCAGTCCTGGCCAGGTTAGTTCGGCAGTCTGTGACCTACTGACGGAAAGGCAATAGCAGAGGACAGTGACAGCCAAGCTAGACACTCCCAGGGGCAGCAGACAGAAGACTGCACATTCCTGGTGGGCTCCTGGGCCCCAGAGTGGGTCACAGCTGGACTCTGGCCCCTCCCAAGCGAGAGCAAAGGGACATGCTGCCTGGACTGGGACCAGCCCCGCCCTTTCGCCAGTTCCTTCTGAGCCTGGATTCCATGCAGCTGAAAAGGGGGAAGACACTGGCCTCCCATGGAGCGTGTATCATATTTCGAGGTGGGATTTCGAGGCCAGAACATCAGGAGGGCCATAAATTAGACAACTCTGCAAAAGAGGATGGATGGGTGGTTGGGTGGAGAGGGAGGCACATCTTTTCACCCGCCATGTGGTCCTAGTCATGTTCATGCATTCACTGGCCCTGCTTTTGGTCACCAGCCACCCCAGTGGAGGCAAGCAAAAGTCCTCTGAGCTCTGAAGCAGCAGTTCCCAGACTGTTCTGCAAAAGCCTCATAGGGGTTCCGTGAAAAAGCTCAAAATTTAAAATGGATTTTAAAATGCAACAAGAGGACTATTCAATTGTCGGTTGGCAACCAAGCAGCAAACAAGGAAATGCACATCATCTTGTTCCTAGGCGTAGTTTTGGGAATAATACAAAGAATTCATTGGGGATATTACCATCTAATCACTTCATTCCTTCATTATGTTTAAAACGTTTTCTCTGTATTTCCAAACCTACTACGATATGCAAAGCACTCAGGCAATAGGAGCAGATGAAGTTGTGGGTTCACATGCTTAGTAAAAGTCAGGGATCGAGTTCGAGTTCCACGGGGGAAAGTCTTCCGGCGGCTTCAGTGGCTGAACAGGTTCGGGAACGCTGCTCTGGAGCATTGGAAGGTGGGGAGGCAGCCCGTGCGTCCCTCTCCGCTTTCCTTATTTATTTATCTAGTTCGTTACTATCCTGCCTTTTTCCTACGAAGAACGCAAAGCGGCCCTCAGGCACGTCCGCGCAACGGCCCTGCGAGGTGGGGGGCTCCGGGAGCCCGAGGCTGCCCCGGCGCTCTGGCGGGCGTGCCCGAGGGGCCTCCGGCGGGCGAGGCGGTCCGGCGGGGCCCTCGGCTTCCAGGCTGGGAGGCCGCCCCGCCGGCAGGGAGGGAGGGCCGCTGGCGCCTCGCGAGCGGGGAAGCGGCGCCCGCCGGGGACGCGCCCCGCCGGCTTTACGGCCCCGCTCGCCGATCCGGCCAGGCCGCCTCGGTCCGCCTCGGCTGCGGCCGAAGGGCTCCGCGGCGCCGCTTCCGCGCAGGCGCGCAGGGAGGCCGCGGCGCCGCCCGCTGCGCACGCGCCCCGCCGCGGCCGGAACTCGGCTCGGGTCACGTGGGCAGGGCGGCCGTTCGCCGCCGAGACCCGCCGTCGCCCGAGCGACCTGCCGGGCCTTCCGGGTGGCTCGGCGGCTGGCGCCATGGCGGCGCGCACGTGACCGCACGGACGGACGCCCCGCTCGGGCCCAGGCGCCGCCGCTCGCCTCCGGCAGGCCGTCCTCGTCCCGGCCCCGCTCTTGCCGCCGCCGCAATGAACGTGGACGGCGCCGGCGCCGCGGGAGGAGCGGCGCGCATGCGTGAGTACCGCGGGAGGGGGTGCTGGGCCGGGGCCCTGGGCGGCGGCGGCGGCGGGCGAGCCCCGTCGCCCTTCCTCGCCCACCCGCCGTCCCTGCCTCCCTTCCGCAGCCGCCAAGCGCCGCCTGCCCGCCGCCGACCCGCACAGGCTCTTCGAGGACACGAGCGCCGCCGCCGCCCCGCCGCCCGCCGCCGCCTACGCCCCCCAGGCGGCCTTCCTGCCGGACCCCGTCTCCAGCTTCGCCGCCGCCTACGGGAGCAGCCTGGCCACGCAGGGAAAGGAGCTCGTGGACCGCAACGTGAGTTGGCGCGCCGTCGTCTGGCCCTGCTCGCTCGGCCCTCCGGAGAAGGCGCCGTAGAGCACGTGCAAAGTGCACCACGGCCCAAGCTGCTGCTGGGCACACTTGTGCTGATCCCCGGGTCTCTGCTCCCGCCCCACAGATCGACCGCTTCATTCCTGTGACCAAGCTGAAGTACTACTTTGCCGTTGACACTGTCTATGTCAGCCGAAAACTGGGGCTGCTACTCTTCCCCTTCCTGCACCAGGTGAGCCGTGCCTGAGGAGCGCAGACCCAGCGCAGGTTGGGGGGCCACCGCCTGTTGCTGCAGGATTACTTTCGCTGAGGTTGCTTTGGGTTTTGTGGCTCTGAGCCACCTTAGGTGTGGTGCTGGCTGTGTGGGAGTCTATTAGATAAAAAAATGCTGGTATGGCGCATCAGCAGCATCCCCTGCTCCCCTTTCCTGACACCTGGCCACTGGTGGCCCCTCTCACCGAGCCTGACACCCCCAGCCCTCCTGACCAGGCAGGTGACTGTAGCTCGCCAAGGCTTGTGGGTTTCGGGCTGTGGGCTCCCCTGTGCCCATTGGCGTTCCATCCTGCCAGCATCTCTGTCTCCGCAGGACTGGCAGGTGCAGTACCAGCAGGACACCCCTGTGGCGCCACGCTTTGATGTCAACGCCCCTGACCTCTACATTCCAGGTATGGCACTTCCCCCGGGACCCTCTGGCAGAGGCCTTGAAGCCAGAGCTGCCGATCATCAGCCCACTCAAACAGGAGTAAAATGCTTTGCATAATATTAGAATTGTTTGGCCATTCAGTTCGGTGTTTAGGGTACTCCAGGCTGCCTTTAAGAGTAAAGGCCCTGCAAAGCAGCTTACACAATAAAATTCTGCAACGGCAGCAGAATAGCCCCCATTTACCAAAAACAGCAACTGTGGCTGGTGAAACTCCGGCTGCAATGAGAGGGGAGCGCAAAACTCTTCAGGGCTGTCCTGAACTTTGCACTGGCGAGACCTGATGGAATCCCAATGGCCACCCTTTCTGGAGGTGTGGGGCTCCTGTGGGGAAGGCCCCCTCTCCTGTTCTTGTGTTGATTGAGGGAAGTGGCTGAGTTTTTGCAGGATTGTCTTTGGTCTTTGCTAGTGCTTGATGTGGCTAATGCACCTGGTTTTTCCACAGTCATGGCATTTATCACCTACATTCTGGTGGCAGGGCTGGCGCTAGGAACACAGAATAGGTGAGAACATGCAGACGAGGCATGTTTGGCCTTGTACTGGCGTTCCTTGCTGCAGGGTGCGGAGGCACAAGAATTCCCGGGGTGGGGAAGCAGCTTGGTCCCCAAAGAGCATGTCTTGCAAATTCGGAATTGGATCTGTGTCCCGTCCTCCGTTCCTTGTGTGGCGCGAGGCATGGCAGGGCTCAGGCTGTGACTCAGCGAGCAGCCCGTGTGCGTGTGCTCGTGCACAGAGGGGCCGGCAGTGTGGCCTGCTGGAGAGCCCACCCTGAGCGCGCCCCTTTGCCACCACCACACCTTCCAGGTTCTCCCCAGACCTGCTGGGCTTGCAGGCGAGTTCGGCCCTGGCTTGGCTGATCGTGGAGGTGTTGGCCATCCTCCTCAGTCTCTACCTCGTGACCGTCAACACGGACTTGTCCACCATTGACTTGGTCGCCTTCTCGGGGTACAAATACGTTGGGTGAGTAGCCTGGAGGCTGGGCAGGCGTGTTCAGGCCCTGCGTCCTCGGCCAGGACGGGTGGCAACTGTCTGGGACCCCGCAGGGGGACAAGCGGCTGCGGGTGGGCGAGTGAGGGGGCCTGCGGCCTGTGCACGCAGCCCCTGCCTGACCCCATTTCCTTCCGCGCCAGGATGATCGTCGGCCTCTTGGCTGGGCTGCTGTTTGGGAAGATGGGCTACTACCTGCTGCTGAGCTGGTGCTGCGTCACAATCTTTGTCTTTACGGTAAGGGCGGAGGCCGAGCTGGGGGTTCGGGTTGCAGGGCTTCTGCCGGCCGCTGGTGGGGCTCCGGCCACTGGCACACCAGTGGCTGCCGTGGTGTTAGGCTGGGGGGCAGCACCTGCAGCTCTCGGCAGCCTGGGCTGCCTCACTGAGGAAGGCACCGTCCAGCCACTGCCCCCCCCCCCGTTGACTGATACGCTTATGGGAAAGCTCTTAAGCGCCATTGCCGCAAGAGCTGTTGCACGCTGCCTTCCTTGGGCGTTCTAATGCCATTGCGTCCTCGGTGCTTCCCTGCCCTGCAGATCCGAACCCTGCGCCTGAAGATCCTCTCCGAGGCGGCAGCGGAAGGGGTGCTGGTGCAGAGTGCCAAAAATCAGCTGCGCATGTACCTGACCATGGCCGTGGCCGGCCTGCAGCCCCTCATCATGTACTGGCTCACCTTCCACCTTGTCCACTGACGGCTTGTGGAAAGTCTGGCCGTCCCCCAGGGAGGCGGCCTGGAGGCAGCACAACTGGACCTACCGTCCCTGCAGCGGTGCCTCTCTGTGTGTGTTGTGGGAGTGCCGGCGGGGGGGGGAGGTGGAGTGTGTGCATGAGCTCGTGAGGGTGAAGGGCAGAGGAGGCAGCCGCTTCTGGGCCATGGCTTGGTGGGGGAGAAGGGAGGCAGCAGGACAGCGTCCCCTGCCTGACCTGCCGCAGCCCCTTCCTCTGCCGGCCTCACAGCTGCTGTGCTCATGGGGCGAGTAGTGCCTGGAGTGCCCATGCTAGGCCTTGCTCTGGACATCGGGGCAGCAGAAGCTGCTGAAGCGGCAGCTGGTGAGTGACTCAGTGTTACGACGGCGGGAGAGCAGCCAGCACTGGGCCTGGGGGAGCCCGTTGAACCTCCCACGGCCCCAAAAGGTTCTTGCTTGCCTGTCCCATATTGTGGCTCACCACACCGTGTGCACAACAAGCAAAATAAAAAGTGAAAACTACACTGTGGATTGCTCTGTGCCGGGTAGAAATGCAGTGGGACAGAAAGTAGCCCCGTAGAGCCCGTGAGGCTCTACCCCAAATGCGCGCACCATCAGCAGCCCTCCTTTCTGGAGGCCGGTGGCGCCTCCTGACTGTTCCACGGTTGGCCCCCCTCCGCAGCTGCACTGGCCTGTCGCTGCCACCGGAAGGCAACGCTGCGTCCAGTGGAGGTCCCCGCTCAAACAGCCCCACGCGGAGGAGAAGCCACCGGGTGCTTTGGGGTTTGCCAAGCACAGTTCCTGTGGGGGGGGGGGCTGCTTTGGGGAGAGGAAATACAGGCAGTGTGTGGGTGCCCTTGACACGAATGGGACTGTTTTCCTCTTGGCATCGGGTGGCGTCCTTCCACATCCACCCCTTTCCAGAGCCCAGTGGCAATGCCCCGGCGCGGCGCGGCAGCTTGCAGACATCTCGCCGAGGCTGTCAGTCTGGACCTTTATTGTCCATAGTGTGGCAAAGGACGGCAAGGGTGGGGAGAGGCAGCCAGTGCTCAGGGGTCAGCCCCTTGGCCGCAGCACGCGACGCTTGAGCAGCGCTCGCCCCTTCGTGCCGCCGACGAAGCAGGCACGCTCTCGCAGCAGGCGGCGGTCAGTGGCGCTTCGCCTTCTTCTGCTTCCTTTCTCTGGGCTGCTGCTGGTCTTTCTTCTGGCCAGCGCCGGAGCTCTGTGGGAAACGGGGAAGTTCTGCTGCAGGAAGAGGCCTTGGCATGCAAGGAAGTGGGGCGGGAGCACTCTTTCCCTGCCCCGGAAGGCTTCCATGTGGCTGCGAATGCCTAGTGAAGCCTCCTTCCCACTTCTGCTGCCCTCCCTCTTCTGCCCAAGAAGCCACCGGAAAGACGGCTGGACTGTCTGGCGGTCAAAGTGCAGAATCTTCAGGATTCGGCCTGATGGGATGCACTTGGCCTTCACTGGGAGGTTGCCATCCACCAGCCATAGCCTCTGAGTGCCCTGCCAGGAGTGGCTCCCAGTGCCGGACTGCAGGCACCCGGCCTCTCGTCTGCTTCTGTTCTCCCTCCTCCCTGAGGGTGTCTGTGGTCCCAGCAGCCCAATTTTGGAGGAGGGAAAATGGTGCAACACTCTGGCAACTGCCGGAGACTAGCCAGGCGCTGGCACCACTCCAGAGGACATGGGACCTGTTGGGGCACCTGGCGGCCTAGCACTTCCTCTGGGGAGTCGGTCCTTGCGACACAGTGCAAGCAGGGGCCTCGGGCCACCCATGGGGAGAAGCGGAGCCCCGGGAGGAGGGCCGTCGCTTGTGCCAGGCCGCTCAGCCAGGAGTGGAGCCCTGGCAAACGGTTGCGATGAGGGAGGGCCCACTCCTGTGGGCGGAGGGCTGCAAGCTGAGCGGGGAAGCCACCGGCTGCTAACCTTGCGCTCATCTTCACTGTCACTGGAGGAGGAGGAGGAGGAGCTGCTGCTGCTGCTGCTGCTGCTGCTGCTGCTGCTGTTGCTGGTCTTGCGGGGACGGCCGCCTTCCTGCGAGCGGAAGGACGGGGGAGCGTGGGCAGAGCGGCCTCCAGCTGAGGCGCGGCCGGAATGTGCGCTGCCCTCCCGCCTGCCCGGCCCTTTGCGCCACAGCGCCGGGTGGGCAGCGACGGCCGAGGCGCGAAGCGAGGCTCCTCCGCTCGGACTCACCTGCCTGCTCCTGGCACTCGCTCCGGGCGGGGGAGGTTTGGGGGCGCTGCTCTCCCGCTCCCCGCTTTTCGCCTCCTGGGCGGTCCTGGGCTCCGGCGTCCCGGCGTCCGATTCCAGTGCTGCAGGCGGAGGATGGTGCAGAGAAGGAAGATCGCACCGTGCGGGGAGAAGAGCTGGGCCGGGAGCCCGGGGCGCCCCCCCCATGTTTCTCTGCGAGAATTGGCGCCCGCCGATCCCCCAAAAGGCGGGGCGAGCGAGGAAAGGGGCGCTGCAGGCGGGGTCCGCGCTCGCTCCCTCTGCCGGGCTCACCTGCGGCCAAGTCGAGGTCCATCCTTCGGGGGCTTTGCGGGCTTCTGCCCGGGCGCGGCGGGGCGCGGCGCGGCAGAGAGGAAGCTCCGCGGCTTGCTGGGGGCGCGCTCCCGCCGCTGAGGACCGGCCGCGCCCTTGCGCCGCCCCGCGCGCGCCTGGGCCGCTGAGCGAGCGGCGCCCCGGCGAGGGCTGGGCCTCCCGGGCCTCTTCGCCGGCCCCCGGCCTCCCGGCGCGGAGGCGAGGCCGCCTGCTGGGCCCCGGGCCGCGTGGCCTGCCGAGCCATCAGCGCCGCTCCGCAGCCTCCCGGCGCAGCGCGACGGCGTCGCACGGGGCTGCCCGCATCGGCCTGCCGCGGAGCCGGGCCGCCCTCGTGCCTGAGCGCGCCTGGGGGCAGCCGGGCCTCGGCCCGGGCCAGCGGGGCTCCTCATGCGCGCCCCCCAGGCTCTTCCTGCGGCCTTGGGCTAAAGGGGGCCAGGGATGCTCCCCCGTCTCGAGGCGGGCATCCGGCCGAGGCCGGACTCCGCAGCCGCTGGCTGGTCGCGCTGGATTCCTTGCAGCCTCCGGCATCCTTTCGGGGGGCTCCCCCACCCCCAGAAAAGTGCCGTTCTAGCCCAGCCGCTCCCAGTAAGGCCGTCTTGTCAGCAGGCGCCTCTCCACCCACAGGAACGTCCCGTGCGGCAATCAAGCGCCAGTGAAGTGCCGATGTTCAACCCGCCCGGCTTCATTCTCTGATTGTGGGCGGGGATCGCCCAGGAGAGCTCCGAGACTTTGCTTCCTCCTCTCTCTCTCTCAAACCGCGGGTGCAAAGGTGGAATGCCACGGAGGGAGGTGGCTTCTGATGGTTACTGAAGGAAAACAAATAGGTGCGGGAGCCCCTCCCTTAAGAGCTGGGGACTGCTGTTTCCACAGGTCATCCAGAAATGGGCTCCCAGCACCTCAGCAGCTCTGTCCCCAGCACATCTGCAAAAGCAGTCCATGGTCAGAGGCTGGGCTTCGTGGCCAGGCCTTTGCTGCTGGGGGGCGGCAGGGAGGCAGCCTGCTGCAGGTCACTCTTGGACAAGCGAGCATGACAGAGGAGGGCACCACCACTCACCCCCCCCCATTGCCTTTTCTGTACAATCTTGGAGCTGCTCCAGGCTCACTTGCCCACCTTGACTTCTCGGTAGCAAATGGTATTTGAATTGTTTAGAAAAAACACTGAATTTGTATCCATTTGAAACAATGTGATTCATACCACAATACAATTTAGATTTATTGTTTTATTCAAAGTTCTCCCAGTATTAAAGATAATTAAAAAGAACAGTTGCAAAAGATTTCAAACAATCAAATTTCCTTAAGTATAAAAAAATCACTCAATGCTATACAAGGGTTCTCTTGCTTGAAGGCCCACTGCTGCTCCAGAGAAAGGACTGCAGGCACCCATGCGGAAATGAAGGATCCTGGAGGGCAGGAAGACTGGGGCGGAGACACAGCCAAGCAGCACAAAACGCCTGCAGATGCGACAAAGGCGGGCTGGGGACTTTCTCCAAGGCGTCTGGAGGAGCCTGCCCCATCCCAACTCATGTGGCTGCTGCCACGGAAAAGCCACGGGGCCGAAGCACCAAGGCCGGAGAGCTCGCGACCTGAATCCATCTCCGCACAAGAAATGCAGTCCCAAGAGGACAGCTTCCGTCTCTGGGATCATGGCCTGGCAGATGAGGGCTGGGAGGAGGGTCTGCAGGAGCAGATGGTACCTTTTGCAAAGGAAAGGGGGTGGAATGGGGACCCCGGAGGCCCTCTCTGGGCCATCGGCACTGCGGGGTCTGAGCACTGGCCCCACGGACCGGAGCATGAGAATGCCGTACGCAGGCTTTGTCCAGGCCACAAGCGCCTCCCGAGCCAATGGGCAACGACAGCCACACCACGGCCCCACTGGCGGGTTGGCTGCGGGAGTGAGCCGAGCCACTGGAAGCCGTCGCATGCATTCCGCACGAGAGGGCTGTGTGGCAGTGGGAGGCAGAGGCCAGCTGGGAGGCAGCATCTTCCCCCAGTAAAGGCTTCGGCCTCCCCTGGGGAAAGGTGGCTACAGATGGGAGGGAGGAGCTCCTGAGGGCAGCAGCCCAGATGGAGAAGGGGGCAGATGGAGAGGGCTCCTGGGGAGGCACTTGGCAACGGGAACGGCCAGTGGCGAGTGCTGAGAGGCAGCCAGTCGCCTCTGGCTAAAAGCCCACTTGGGGTGAGAGCAGCCAACCTGGCGGGAGAGCCATGGGGGCATCAAGGAAGCATGCATGCATTCCATACATTCTGGGACGGGGAAATCTGAAGAACCATCTCTGGAGTAAAGATTTGAACAGCTGAAAACATTGCATTCACAAAATGTGTCCCCCTCCATTCCTGCAATCCCCTCACTCGCAAAGCACACCTCTCTCCTTGGAGCCCGGGCTCACAGCCCAACCAGGTCAGCCGCTGCTGCTCTGCACCTGGCCCTGAACCACAGCAGTCCCTTTGCAGAGCCTCTCGGGTATGCAGGCAGGAAGGCAGGCTGGGGCAGCTGGGAGGTGGGGAGTGCCACTCACACCTGCTTTGTGGGGGGCATGCACAGCGTGTGCGTCTCGCAGGCTGTGCCAAGGAGGCTGCGGAGGCACTGCCTGCGGCTCTGAGGTGGGGAGCAGCCCTGCAGCAAAGCTCGGCACAGCTCCTCTTGGCACCTGCCAAGAGCTCCGCACTCGGCCTCTGCCAGAGGCGCCACCTACCCCTTCCCTCCGAAGGACACACGCTCCACCCTGGGCCGGGGCCAAAGTACTGGGCGGGCAGCGGAGGCTGCTGTGCTGTGCCAGGTGGCCTTTGGCAGGGGCGTAGGGAGCACAGCCGTGCTCAGAGCAGGAGGAAGAGCAAGTGCGGACAGACAGCAGCAAGAGGCGGAAGGAGGCCCTCTCGGGGAAGGTTTATGATCCACGAGTGTCCTTCTAAGCCATCCTATGGAGGGGGATCGAGGCCGGCTTGGCCCCTCGGCCCGCGCTATTTACATGTGGCTGGGCCTCCAGCGGCACAGGAAGATCACCTCCGCCATGCCCTCAAAGCGTGTAGGCGTTGCTCATCAGGCGCTCCTTGTCGTCCAGCGTGCTCCACACCGGGCCCAGAGAGAGCTGCCGGCTCTTCCAGATCTTGGCGACAAAGAGCACCACGGTCCCCAGCAGCACGGTCACCATGACGGCCAGGAGCACGGCGACCACGGCCACTGCGGAGGGGAAGGGGCAGAGCGTCAGCGGCGGGAGCAGGGGGCTCCAGGCCACAGAGAAGGGGCAGCCCCTCCCTCTTTCCCATGGGAAAGGCAGGGAAGGTCACGCTTCATGCTTTCTCAAGTTCACGTGAATTCACCAGCAGAGGTTCTGCCACTTCCTCACAAGTGAAAACTTGAGAACACATCCGAGGAAGGTGGCCTGGAGAGCCGACGGGCAGCCCCAGGTCCTGCAGGAAGGGGCTCCCTCCCACAGCAAGTGTGGCACAGTGCAATGAGCCAGGCCCATGGTGCCCGTCCCCGGCCATCAAATGGAGCTTCCTGCGGCATCACGAAGGCTCAGCCTCGGAGAGGCCCCCCGGTGTCAGTGGCAGTGCTGGCAGCCCCCTCCTGCTTGGAGTGAGAGCGGCAAGCACTCGGAGCCCCCACTCCTGACCCAGCCCCGTACCAGAAGCGCAGTGTTAGGGTGCCCCTCCCCTGCCAGACCTCCCAGCCCACGCCAGAATGGCCGCCTACCTCTGACTGGGTGGACCAGGGGGCCAGCGAAGGAGTGCGGGTGGGTGTGAGGCTCCTCCTGCCCGTGGCTTGTCTCTAAAAGCAGAAGGTGAAGCAGAGAAGAGAGCGGGTGAGAGCCGGAGGTGGCCGTGGCAGCCAAGCCAGGTCAGCCGCCCACTGGACTGGGGGAGGGGGCCAGCCCACCTATAGCCAGGGGCCAACAGACAAGAGGGCTCGGGGGAGAAGCCCGGCCAGGCTGGCCTTTGCAGCACGGCTCTGCGGAGAGGGAAGGCCTGCCGCTTTCCAAGTGGCCTGGGGCTTGGGGCAAGCTGGGGCAGCCGGGCCGCTTTCCCCGGGGCCCCTCCGCTTACCTCCGGCCCCAGAGCACTGCCTCAGGCACTGCTCCTGGAAGAGATAGTTGTTCTTGTTTCCCCCACAGCCTCCGTAGATGAACTTCCTGCATGTCTGGGTCTCTGTGTCGAAGTACCAGCGTGGGAAGGAGGCGCGGCAGGAGCCGACAGCTGGGGGTGCGGCACAGGACTCTGCAGGAGGGCAGAAAGTGGCTGGGTGCTGCGGGCAGAACCTGCAGGGCACGGAGCATGGCAGGACCCGCCCCCACTGGGGCCTGCCATCGGCCCGTTCGGCCATGAGGTGGGACTGGGAGCCACCCGGAGGCTGGCCGTCTTCTCCTGGCAGGGCCTAGGCTGCTGAGGGCGTGTTAGGCAGGGCAACCGGCCGGGGGTGCGGGCCGAGGGTCGGCCACTCACCAGCCCGCTGCCCTGGCCTCCCGCAAGGGCACACGCCAGGCTCTGGGCCATCCTGGCGTGCAGCACGGGAGGAGCGGGTGGCCTTCCGTACTGCGCGGCACAAGCCTCGCCAGTCTGCTCCCATCAGAAGGTGGCTTGGTGTGGGTTGTTTCAATTAGTTGCGCCTGCGGCCTGCACGCTGCCCGGAGGGCTGGCTTGACCGGCACACAAGCATCTGAGTCGCCAGGCTTCTATTCTGGGTGGGTCGTCTCCACACAGGGATCAGGTTCCACTTCTGGAAATGTAAGATCCCTGCTTGTTTATGTTCAGGTAGAGAAGCACAGAAGGCAGGGAGGAGAGGCGCTTTCAACAGGCAGCTGCTGCCTGTTTGCCCAGGAGGCTCTGGCCAGCCACAGAGAGTGGGGCCGGGGGCAGGTGAGGAGGGACCACTGCACCCCAGAGGGCCACAGGCTGCAGAACAGGCTGGGCCTGGGCTCAAAGCGGCTGGACGGGGGCCACCTGGATGGCCCACCTCACTCCGCAATGGCACGAGGGGCAGCACAAAAGCACGTGGATTCCACGTGGTGCATGGGATGGGGGCATATACATTCTATTTAAAGATTTAAAATATTTATATGCCGCCTATTCCACTGACAGCATCACAAGGCGGCTCACACTACTAAAAGAATCACATCCTAAAATATAGAGGACTCAAGAACAGCAACTACAAGGAAAACGTTCTCGAAGGAATGCATGACTTCACACCTGCCAGGCACCCCCCCCCATGCTGGGCACCCCCGGGGGGATCCAGGCAGGCAGCTCACCTGAGCTGCACTTCTGGCGGCAGTCCTCCGGCGTGAGGAAGTTATTGGCGTTGCCCTTGCAGCCGCCGAAGATGAACTGCTGGCACTCCTGGCTGCTGGCATTGAACCACCACCGGGGGAAGGAGGCCCGGCACCGGCCCACAGCCTTGGGCAGGAGGCAAGTGTCTGCAAGGAAACAGAGCCATTCGCAGGCGTGTGCACGGCCACACGGCAAGGAGGCACAGGACTCGTTTCAGGGATCAAATTACCTTGCTCCTCTATTGCTCCGGCATCCAGTTTATTTCTGGGAACAATCTGAGACGCTGGTTCTTACCGATACGGCCCTATGTTAAGGCAGAGGCATCTGTGCCCCCCCTCCCCAATGAACCTGCCCCGAGTGTGGCTTTGGCCTGCTTTGGACACCCTGCTGTCTCCCCAGCCAGAGGCAAGGTGGGCAGGGACCCACCTTCCAGGGTCTTTCCCATGTCAGGACCCCAGCTGTGGAATCCCCACTCCCCAGCAATGGGGACGCCCCCCCTTTGCTCCTTTTGGGGCAGTGAAGCAGTTTCTTCTCATTCGGCCTCCAGGAATGAGTATCATAGCCCTCCTCACTCTCTCTCACAAGGAACTCCAGGCTGCTTCAAGGTTCCCCGCTCTCTCTTTCACCCTCAGAACAACCCTGCGAGGTAGGCTGGGCTCTGTGTGTGTGCGCGCACGCGCATGCGCTTGGCCCAGTCACCCAGTGAGCAGGCCTCAGATTTCGAGTCCCAGTCCAAGGCAGGAGCCGCTGTGCCACCTGGAGATCCGCATGAGCACAGGGCTGGCGCTGAACCTCGAGGCCTTCAGGCAGCAATGCGGTCCGTCTGGTTTGTTGCCCTCCGTGTTTTGCAGCTTGCTCCTCTTGAGTAATAAAACATGGCAGCGAGGCAGCGGCCAGCTGGCCCGCCTGCGTTGGTGCCTGCACACTCCTGAGCACAATTCAGGATGCTGGTTCGAGCCTACGAAGCCCTACCCAGCTTGGACCAACCCCTGACAGATGACCTCTCCTGACCTCCGTCTGCCTGAACCCTCCAGCCGTGGGAAGGGACAGCCTTCTCCGGCAAAGCGACTTGGTGCCAACATTGTCATCTTTTTGGTGTGGGGTTAAAACTGCCCTCTGTTTCAAGCCATTCAATGGCACATGATGGGTTATGCTAGCTTTTTTAATTAGGTCTTATTTCACTGAAACTTTTTTGAATATTGGAATTTTATACTGTGTTTTATTGTATCCATATGTTTATCATATCGCTTATTTATTATGTAACATTGTTGTGACCCACCAAGGGAGCTTTGGCCACTGGGCAGTGAAGAAATCAAATAAGCATGCTTTCTTTTGTACGTCGCCTTATTGGCTCTGCCGGGGCCAAAGGATGGGGTTTGCCTGTTAAGAGGTGCATAGATGCCCCTAGGATCACATAGACGCGAGCCCAAACTAGCATCCTGCACACATTGAGGCCCAGTCAGATCACTTTCGCTTGCACATGATATTTGGGGCCCAAAGCATCTCCAGCTTCCAGTTTACCAACCATCACTAAGGCACCTTGCGCAAAAGCCCATCGGAAGCTCTTTTTGGGCACTGAAACCAAAAGTGTCCCAGCGTTCCAAAGACGAGCAGACGGGCTGGGGCTGAAGGCTCCCTCGGCCGACGGGGCCTCCAGCACAAGATGACAATAGGTTCTTTCATCCTTAAGGTGCCACAGGACTGTTGTTTTTGGAGACGGCAACTGAACACAAGGCTTCATTTCAGGGCCACAAGAATCCCTTCGTGCCCCCATTGTTCTCTCCAACTGCCAAACCCCAACTGACTCTGGCGTGTGACCAACTGCTGCTCATGAAGGGAGGCCCTAGGAAAGAGGAGGGGCAGGGCCTCCCCAGGGAAGAGGGGCCAGAGGAAAGCTGGTGGAAGGGGGCAGCCCCACACAGGGGAAAGCTGTCCCAAGAGCACGTGCTGATCACCGACGGGGCCCCGTGTTTGTTCTCAGGCAGTCTGTGTCTTACTCTGTTTCCCTCCATTTGATACATTGCTTGGCTAAATTGATGTATTCATTCCGGGGGCTACGTATTGTATTTATGAATTAATTCGTTATCTCATGCCAGTAATGCAGGTTTATAGAGTGCTCCTTGCTAACATTATAATAAAGAGAGTGCAGGGGAAACCCGTGAGCCTAGTTCCCCAAGCCTTCACTCTGGAAGGAAAAGCGCAACTGTAAACACGGGCGACGGTGCCCTCCAGCAGCACTTCCGACGAGCGCCGCTCCAGGAGGGCTGGCCAGCCCCCAGAGCTCACCCTTGCTCCGGCTCCCAGTTTCCCCCACCCTTGGAGAGCAGGGAGCACGAGCGAGCGGCAGAACTGCCCACACCCCCAAGAGCCCTGTGGCTGAGGAGTCGTCTCCGACCCGTCGCGACCCCACGGACAGCATTCCTCAGAACACCCTGCCTGGACAAAGGCACACGGATCCAAGGGGCTTCCTGAAGATTAAATGGGCCCTGGCCCCAGAGAGGGTTCCCTCCGCACCACGTTCCCCGGCGGCCAGACGCCTCCAACCATGGCCACACACAGAAGGAGGGAGAATTCTCCTCCCCACTCATCTCACGCCCAGGGCTCCCAACTGGTACCATGTGTGGCCATGTTGCCCTTCCAAAACTGGCCGTGGGCACGAGGGGGGAAACTGGTCCGGTTCTTTCTCGCTGTATGAGTCAAGGAGAAGGGGCGCAGGAGAAAAGACCCAGCGCAGGCTGCCAAACATGTGGAGGAGGAGGAGGAGGAGGAAGGGGAGTCACACACAGGAAGACGCCCCACTCCCCACAGAAGTCCAGAGTTCCCTCAGGGCAGCCAGACTGGTGAGCCAGCCAGGCCGAGCAGCTGCGCTGACATCACCACAAACAGGTCGAGCCAGTCTGGGGCAGCCTGCCCAGCCCCGCCGGACCCGGTTCGATCAGGTTTCCCTCCACATCTCACCAGTGCCTGTGCAGCAGTAGGGCAGCCCCATCACCACTCTTCCGGACCCCAAAGCATGCCCTGCAGAAGGGGCAGGCAGGAGGGCTCAGCAGGACGGAGCCGCCCCTGCCAAACCCCTGCTGCTCCCAGCCAAGGGGTCCTTCCGCCTTGGCAGCAGAACGCTCGGTCTCCCTGCAGACCAGCTGCCGAGTGGGGACGTGTCCCAGCAAGACCCCTTGTTCACAAGGGCTGGACCTCTGCCCCCCCCCGTGCCAAGCTGCCAGGGCACCTTCAGCTGGCACTGCCAGGCCACACCCTTCTCAGCGGGGTTGATGCCGTGATTCACCTCGGACCTTTGTCT